AAATAGTGCTCTCTCTTGTGTATTTAGCAGATCCCTGGGCAACCTCAAAGAGAAGGAAATCAGAGGAGAACAGCACTGAGTCTCTCACAGCCAGGAGGGCACAGAACAGAGGCGCCAGCTGCCCCACTGAGCAAGCACGAGCTACTCCAATTGGGCCCCTCAGTGAATGAGCTCGTAAGCACTAAACTGCCAAATGCCAGATTGGGGATAAGTAAGAGATCTGGTGCACCTGGTCAATGAGAGGAAGTTGTCTTGTCTGGTCTTTACTGAAAAAGAATAGGGATTCTCAAATGAGGAGCAATTACCCAGGATAATTGATCACCGTACCAAATGCCACGCACTTAAAGAAAAACACATGCCCGAATAGAAAGCTTAAAGATGGGGAACAAAGGTGATATGAGGCATGAAAAAGAAAATTAGGTACCCAACACTATACTTTCAGGAAAGGGAGCAAGGAAATAGCTAAATTTATCCACTAATAGCAAGGGACCCATAAAGAAGAAGGAATGAGAGAGAGAGAGAGAGGGAGAGAGAGAGACAGACAGACAGACAGACAGACACTGTCTAATGTGGAAGAAACAATGACAGCATAAATGACCCATCTTTCTGTGCTGGTGAGACAACACGTGGAGAATCACTTTTAATCCTTAGTTCCACGTTTCATGGAACCACTCGCTGGCACAGCAGCATCCCAGATACTGAGGAGTCTGGAAACTAGGTGTCATGAGAGAGCTCAGAGGAGGCTTGGTCATGAGCAGAGGGCATGAGAGACATGTGGCCTTCATTTCTGAAGGTCTTTGCCAAGGTGGCAGCAGAATGACAGATTGCTCTGTATGGCTTCAGAAGGCAAAACTCTAAACAAAAATTGGGAGCCACACGGTTTCAGATGTGTCTCTTCAAAACTACTAATCAGTTCATCAATAGAATAGCTGGGGAATGAGCTAATGAATGAATGCACCGCCCCTTTACCTTCCCCACTCTGATTTTGGAAAAATAACAGGAGACCCCCTGAGAGAATCTCATGCTTATTTAGAACTAAATCATATTTCTATTCAAGGGCAATAGACGTTAATATCTATATGATTTTTATTTTATACTAAATGAAAAATTCAAAGTTGATGAACGATTAATTTCTCTACCTTTAAAAAAATATCATAAGTAATCTAGATACAGCCTACATAATTCAGCTGACATTTAAAATAGGTGCAATTGAGTATGGGATTTCATAGTTACGAAATCATTTTAAGTAGAAAATTAAGCAGGCTTTCTGGATTTGAGGGGTACGAGATTATCTGGAGTGAGAATGGGAGCCCGTGGGCATGAGCTCTGCCATTTTATTTAGCCCCGGGACCGGAAGGTACAAATCAGCTCCTTCCTCTTTTAAATGGGGACAAAATCTCACCTGTCTTTAAGGATGCTGGGAGAGTAAGGGGAATGGTGGAAAGCTCGGAGACAAACCACTTCGGTCTCTTGACACGCCAGTTTCTCTTCCTCTATTACACTTTAGACACGTGGTTTAGAAAGCTGCAGTAATTCTTTCGAGCCATTTTTAGTCACATCTAGATATTTAACTGAGACTCAGATTCAACTGCCTAGTGGATCACAGGGCTTCAAGGAAAGCTTCTGCTAGGCTCAGGGGACACAAAGAGTATTAAGACAGCCCTCACGACCCCGCTGCCTCCCCCATCCACCCTTATCTCCTACCTCCTGTACTCTCCCTCTTGTTTGCTCTGCCTGGGTCTTCCTGGTCTTCTGAGTTTGCTAAACTTGTTCTTGCCACTGGGCCTTTGTACTTGCTGTTCCATTTCTTAGAAAACCCTTCCTCAGATATGGATACGGCTCCCTCTCTCATCCCACATAGATATCCCTTCCACAGAGACCTTTTATGACCATCTTACAAAATAGCTCACTACCTCCCTACTCTCTTGTCACCTCATGACGTTAAATATTTACTAGTTTACTGTCTGTCCCCTACTAAAACATAGCCTACATGTAGTATATAGTAAACAAATTGTAGTATATAGTAAACAAATATTTGTTGAATTTGGCCATATGCTCAGAGAATAAATACAGGGAAATGTCTACTGTTTATCTCCATACATCTCTGGCCACAAGTTCCCATACTGAGGTGCAGCTTTGGTGATTGGAGCCAGATCATGGTGGGCTAAATCAACCCCAATGCCTATAATCTAAGGCCTATGCTAAAGCAAGTCTAGATGTTTTCTTGGCACCCAGCCCAGAAAGCCCAAGATGGGGTCCCTCCCAAGTAGGGAAGCAGCTGTAAGCCCCTCTGACTAGACCAACTGCTTGGGGGAAGAAAGAAGCAACCCAGAGACTTCAAATCAAAAAAGGGAAAGGACATACTAGGTTGAAAATCTCAGCTCTTAACTTTTTGACATTTTATCAAAAGCTTTACCTATTAGCTCTAAGGTCTGTTAACTGTCCTTGGACTTGACCCCTTTGTGTCAACACTACCCGCATTTGTGGATGGAGTGAATGGAGTGTGTGAAGGAACACTAAATGAGGTGAATGGATTTACAGCATCATGCCACAAGGATCTCCAAGAAGTAAATCATGATGCTCAACCCATGAATGAGCTGAAATCTACCTCCTCAACCCCTCCTTCTGTCTTGGACCCCTCTCCCTTCCTCAGCAATCGCAGGACCAATACACCCATTAATTTGCCTCCTGTATATCGTGAAATTTGGGAGAAATGATAGCTTCATCTGTCAGGGAGAATGGTAGCCCTTCTTCTTGCTTCTGCTCATCAAATGGTCTAAAAGAACATTTGGCTTTCCAAAGCACCTGATTTACAAAGATGCTTGTATGCTGTGAGACCACCTCAGTGATTTCTAATTATTATGATTTGGAGGGGAGGGGATCACCCAGCCATGTTCTTAGAGACTCCACATGAGTCAGAGGTGATATGGATGTGCACACAAGGCATTTCTGTGAAGCTGCGACTTTATTATTCACACTCCCTTCTACAAAGTCATTCCATTGTAAGCCTGTGCCCATAGCATGTGTTAAAAGATACTGGTGTGTGCCAAGTTTAAGCCGACATGAAAAGCGATCCAAGGATATTTGGTGACAAACCTGAACACCAGTACTGAGCACATCACAGTG